TTTCTAGAAAGGTAGCCCATCGGCTGCCGAGTCTGCTGACATTTTCCCGAGCATGCCGCAAGGACTCCAGTGTGATCCCCCCGGGACACTCGGGCCAAGTGACGAGTATATGGTGTTGTTGCCCGATGGGGTATCGTTTGACGCTTAACGTCAGAGTTGCCAGCGCAACTACTCTTGCAATCAAACCGTATAACATGAATACGTCCAGATCATGACCAATAGAGACGAGTCCAAGATGACACATTCATGATCCCACCCCGAAAATCTGGAGCATTGAGCTTGAGAACCTTTTCTGCTTTTTTTTCAAGGCACTCCCTGATGAGCTTCGTAATATTCAGTCTGTTCGAGACGCCTCGCGTTCACCGCCTGGCCATTCCAGTTCCCGCCAGAAGAGGCGAAGTCGGTTCCAGGACGGGATGCTCATATTCCGAAAACAGGGGGATACCTTGCCGCAGGTCTGCGTGTGTTTTAGATTTGTTCCTGTGCTGCATTTCTTCTCCATCCCATCGCCGAGCGGGCTCAGGTATGTCAGGTGGCTGATCGGTGCCAGTAATCGTTCCCAGCGGATCATTGATATGGACGCTGGCTCTCTGGACCCTTACTCCCTATCCACGGCAGCAGGTCAGAAATATCCAGAGCACTGCCCAAAATTGACCCGAGATGTCCCGATGACGGCCCACAGGGCTCCAACAAGAGCCGAAGAGGGCCCCGAGAAGGGCCCCCCAAAGGGGCCAAGAGCCCGAGGCGGCCCACGCGAATCTCCAGACGGCCGACGCACAAGCATCCCCGTGTTTTTCACACACACACACAAAACACAATAACACACACACACTGTCGAAAAACACACTTTGGAAAACCACACACAACACACACACACATAAAACACACACACAGGGGAACAACACATGCACAGTGTGTGCGTGTGTGTTGTCTGTGTGTGATGTCTGTGTGTGCGTGCGTGCGTGCGTGTGTGTGTGTTGTTTGTGTTTTTGTTTCACTGACCGTGTTCGGGGCCGGCATGGGCTTCGTTTTGGGGCTCAAGTTTGGCCAAGGAACGTCCAAGAAGCTATCTCGGAGCGCGTCTCAGACGGCGTCGAAATCTGAAAGGTGAAACAACCAGACACGAGCCCGAATGTCTGCGATAAGAGGTGTCCTGAGGACCCCCAGCGAGGTCGGAATCGCAACAAGTATAGTATGTGTTGTACTTTTGAAGCTTGCAGCTTGTAAGTAGGTGGATTTGGGCCCAAGAAGTCTGGGGGGACAAGACCTGGTTCGGGAGGCCCAGAAAGGTGCCAGAATGGGCCGACATGACGGAAGCATGTGCCCCGATAGCGCATTGGGAATGATATGAGATTCAAGCTCGTCTTGGACGTCGTGTGGAAGCCGTCTTGGGGCTCGCAAAGGGCCTGTGCCGCAGCGAGCGGCGGGATGGCGGCGCCCGTTTGGGGAGCAAAGAACCGGGAGGGGGGGGGCCAAAGCTTTGAAAGGAATTCCCACAATGAAATCCCACACTCCTCTCAGCCTGGCGGGCGGGTGGAACCAAAAGGCTTACGCTATTCCGCTGGGCTTCCGAAGAGTGGGGAAGTCAACGGAAGAAGTCGCCATCCCGATTTTGCAAGCTTCTTCGGCCAATGATTAAGGCAGTCAGGGCTTTATCGGGGCCCTCTTTGGGCCTTGTGGGCGCTATTAGGTCCACCTTGGGAAACATCGGTCAGAAAGGACGTTGTACCTAAGTAGCGCTGCCTGTCTGGAGTTCGAAGGATCTGTTCTTCGGGATCTCTCAGGGGGCACTTGGGGCGCTCTTCGAAGCCCTTGGGCCGTCTTGAAGCATTTCTGGCCTATTGGGGCTCTCTTGGGCGATCTCGAATCCGTCCTGAGGCCTCAATAGCCCATCGGAAACAGAAGGCCGAGAAAGCGACAATCATCGATTTACATGTGCTTATTCATGTAAGTGTGACCGCTCGGGAGAGGCCGTGGGGCCAATCGGCGCCGTCTTGGGGTCCCTTGGAAGCATGCCAGAGCATCTTGGAGGCCTTCTTGCATTGTCTTGGGCCACTTGGGAGCCATGCAGGGCATGAAGATGCCCGGGTGACGCGCCGGGGAGCTCGTTATCCCCCCTTGCCCCTCCCCCCTCCCCGTCAAACGGCATCTTGGATCCCCTGGAAGGGGGGAAGGGGGAGGGTAACGTCTAGTCATCTCACACGCCCACTCCCCCCCGGCAAGCGGAGGTCGGCGGATTTAATTCCAGTTAGGAGGTACAAGGGCGAATAGGAGAGGGGTGAGGACGGTAGCAGTGAATTCGATTGTTTTACCTCACTCTCCCATCTACATGCCATGAGATGCTCGGGACCTTGGCTGGAAAGTAGTGGTAGCAGAAAGACATGCTCCGAGGAGGCCGAGATGAATTGGTGGCGAATCTTCTTCGGCATCTTTCCCAGGGGATGCCTGCTTCTTGAGAATCGGCTGACATGCGAGCCCCCCCGGTCATCGATTACGCCAATCGGTTTGTTTCGTTGGTCAATTTGGCCATTTCAGCAGTCCTGCGCCGATTGGATGGGCGCCACAGGATGGTGGGCACCCAATTAAATTAAAGGTGCCACCAGGCGCTGGTCAGACAGCTGACCTACCGCAGGCGAGGCCGACGGCTTACGAACGTCTCGGCAGCAACCGCTGGCCTGTGGAGGTATCTCTGGGCCAAATCAGCAACGAGTTGGCACTCGCAAACCCAGCGTGGCCATGGCGCTCGCGCATGGCCCGGCCCGCTTCTGTGATTCTGGCCCTTCGGCACGCCCTATCGACGCCAGCGCCAGTCATCACATTGATCGGCCAGAACTTGTTCGCGGTTTAACGGCCAGCTCGCACCCTGCACCCGTGGCACCCGCGCGCGCTGATAGCTTTGCGGCGACACCAGTTGAGCATGGCCTGGTTCTACTGAGACAGCCTTGCGCCCTGCCTTCGTGAGGCTAGCCACCGAAAGTTCACCAAGAGGGACATTCCGAGACCAGCAGCAGGCTTGAGTTGAGTAAGTTTGTATCTCACAAGTTGCGCAGGTACGCGCGCGCATGCACCATAGTAGCAGTTGGTTGCGTCCGTGCTCGCTGAGACAGGCCTGTTTTATTCACGCCGCTCAGTTGTCACGTCCGTCATTATTTCGCCCAGGCGCCATTTTTTCCACGTCCCTCTTCTGCCGCTCCTCGCTGCCACCCTGAGAGCGGATGGGGGAGGGGGAGAATGGAAAAGGGAAAAGTGGCACACGGAGTGCTGAGGCAGGAGGGAGGCCCAGCGGGTGGCGGGAGGAAAAAAAGGAACATTGAAGGAGCAGCGGGCAGCGGGAGGGTGAGAATCAATAAGGTCGGAGGGGGGGAGGGGCGCATGAGGAGATGCGAGGAAGGCGGAAGAGGGGTGATGACGAGGAGTAACAGGATGTGCCCATGACTCACAAACACAATGTTCGGTGTTTCGTCGTTTGTCGGCGGGGTTAATTGTCGGAGGTGGACAGACCTCCTACCCTGACACATCGAGTAGTAAGAAATGGGCCGTTTTCGGTTCGCGAGAGGGCGTCGCGGCCGTCATTTTTGCGGGTCCAGGTCCGTCGATTTCGGCCCTAGGTCGTTTTCACTAAGGGAAGGTTTACTAAAGGGAGTATTGTCCACCGCCGAAGTTGGTCTTTCTACATATATGTGTATATCTCTCTCTCTCTCTCTGTTTCCCTTTTCCGCTTTCCCAAAACAGTGCTTGCACTTACGGGTGCTGACTTGTGCTCTAAGGTAACGGGGCCCCAGTGTCGGTCCAGCCGGCTCGTCGCCGCCCGTCGCCGCCGTCGCCGCCATGGGTTCTAGCAGCGGTCCAGTCGGTTCGTCGCCGCTCGTCGCCGTCCGGCGCCGCCGCCCCGCCGAAGCAGCACACCCCTTCCCCATTGCATTGCAATCGAATTGCGTCGCAATCGCATTTCGGTGAATTGCAAGAGGATTGGATAGCTGTGCAATCGCATTGAAGAGCATTCGCATTGCATTGCAGTTGGATTGCGTTGAGTTGCAATCACATTGCATGTTTTGCCGTTGAGTAGTGCTGATTCGCATCGCTTTGTATTGACGTGCATTGTTGTCCGTTGTCTTCCGTCGCGTTCATTGCAATTACTTTGATGATGTTGCATCGTTTCACATTGTTGCGCATTGCGTTGCATTGCGTCGCATGGCTTCGCGTCGATTTGCATTGCATGGTTTCGCTTGTCATCGCATTGCTTTGCATTGTGTCTGCATTGCTTGGCATTGTTTTGCATTGCTTTGCATTGCGTTGCATTACTTTGCATGGTGTCGGAATGTTTTGCCGTGATGTGCAATGCTTTGCACTGCTTCGCATTGTGCATTGTACTGCGTTGCGGTACGTTGCGTTGCAACGCATTGTGTTGCATTGCCCTGCAGTGTTTGCATTGCGCTCGAATTTATTACATTGCATGGTTATGCAGTGTTTTGCGTTGCGTTGATTTGCGTTGAAATGCCTTGCATAGCTCCGCATGGTATTGCATTTCAATGTTTCGCATTGGTTTGGTCTGGTTCGCATTGGATTGCATTGCCTTGCGTTGCTGTCCGTTGTTTCGCATTCGTTCGCATTGCGTTGCGTTGCATTGCGCTGAACCGATTCGTACTTATTTGCAATATGTTGCATTGCGGATTGCGCATTACATTGCCGTGCGTTGCGTTGTATTGCGTTGCACGGGTTGTGTTTCTTTACGTTGGTTCGAATTGTTTTCTTTCACTAACCATTGATATACATATCAATTCATTGATTTGAATTGATGCGGTTTGTTTCGCGCTGCTTGGCACCACCTAGTTAGCACCACATGGATTGCACCAGCTAGAGTGCACTACGGTGCATTGATTGCACCACCTAGATTACAATGCGCATACCATGCTGGCTAACCGTTATTTGCATGTTCGTTCCCTCTTTCTCTCTCTCTCTCTCTCTCTCCCTTTCATGAGTCCCACTCTTCTCCTCACCAGGTATGGACGCCAAGATGATGAGGAGCCAGATGGAGCACCTCCAGAAGAATCCAGAGATGTTGAAGACAGCGATGGAGAGCCTCAAGGCCGGTAGCGAGTGCCCGTTCACATGGCGATTCGAGTGATTATTGACGCTTCGCGTATCCCCTATCAGACCATCCAGAAACGATCGTCAGGCGAGTTGCCCTGATGAGGGAAGTGAAGGAGTATGTTGTGGAACAGTGGTGAACCAGCCGTCAGGCCGAAGCCCAGAATCAGGCTGAGCATACTCAGGAGTCGAATTGTGGAGCCTGCCGCGGGAGGAGAAAGAGGCGGAGGAGAAGACCGAGAAAGAGGAGGGAGATAAGCGAGGAGGGTGAAGAGGGAGGCTGGCGGCGGAGGAGGAGCAGCAGTACGAGAAGGAGGAGCAAGAGCATTGGGGAGGAAGGGGGCGACGACAACGATGACGGAGACAGACGTCAACCATGAAGGCCGTCGCGTCTTTCGTGCTAAGTGCCTCTTGGAGGCCTCCTGGAACTATGTTGGAACCATCTTGAAGCTCTCTTGAGGCAATTCTGGGAGCTTTCGGGGTCCTCTTTGTCCCTCATTTGGCAATCGTACGACATCGATCAAAGAAGTGGACCTAGGACCATCCATCTAGCAGTCCTTCTTGGACGATTGTCGGCGCCTCGCCTCCGCCCTCGTCCTTCTCTTCCTCCTCCTCCTCCTCCTCCTCACCGTCCCCTTCCTCCTCCCCCTCCTCCTCCCCTCCCTCCTCCTCTTTCTCCTCCTCCTCCTCCGCCTCCTACTCCTCCTCTTTCTCCTCCGCCTCCTCCTCCTCCTCGAGTGTTCCCGAGGCCATGCCAGAGGACCAGCGCAAGCAGATGTTGGCCGCGCGCGGCCTCGCCAGCGGCGGCGGCGGCCTGGAGCCCAGACGTCTACGGGCGCGGTGCGGCGGGGAGAGGGGAGGGCCGCTGATCAGGAGAGCTTACGCGGCTGGCATCAGCCTCAGGTCCCTCCTTTCTTGGTAGCCGAACAGGGGCCCATGCAGCTCGTGAGTCTGAACGAGCAGGCGTCTCTCACACAGGTTATGCCGAGACGTCGTGGCTACAGGTGGCACCTTTGCACATGCATGTGTCGCCCAATCGTACTGGCTGACTTCTCCTGGATGCATCTCGGGTTCCAGACGCTCTCCTGAAGCAGCGCAAACGAACGGAACAAGATCGACGATTGGTGTTCGGATATATGCAGTTGCCTGCGGCAAGTCCTGCCACCGTGCACTCCCAGCATTCCAGGTGGCGGCTGTTCGAGGGGGCCAAGGGAGGCCGTCGCGTATGACACTTCGTGTCTCCAGGCTTGGGAGAGACGTGATGATGGTGATGTTGATGTTGATGCTGATGCTGTTGCTGATGATGATGGTGGTGTTGATGATGACGATGAGGAATTGGAGGATGAGGGCGATGATGATGATGATGATGATGATGATGGCGGTGATGATGACGGTGATGATGATGATGTTGATGATAATGTTGTCGATGACAATGAGGAGGATGATGGTGATGAGGGTGGTGATAATGATGTTGATGCTGAGGGTGAGGAGGAGGATGACGATGAAGACGATGAGGATGAGGATGAGGATGAGGGCAAGGAATCTCAGGGAGATGAAGAAGATGAGGCCGACGATGATGATGATGCTGACTATGATGATGATGAGGAGGAGCAGGCGGAGGAGGAGGATGGTGATGCTGGTGATGATGGTGATGAGGAATGAGGAGGACGAGGAGGACGAGGAGGATGAAGAGAATGAGAAGGATACGGAGGATGTGGAGGATGAGGAGGAGGAGGATGATGATGATGTTGATGATGATGATGAGGACGATGGTGGTGATGATGGTGATGCTGGTGGTGGTTATGATTGTGAGAATGGTGGTGATGTTGATGATAAGCATGATGCTGGTGATGATGATGATGGTGATGATGATGGTGGCGGTGAGGTTGAGGGTGAGGGTGAGGGTGAGGGTAAGGGTGATGAAGATGATAATGGTTATGCTGATGGCGATGATGATGATGGTGATGATGATGATGATGATGATGGCGCTGCTGATGATGATAATGGTGACTTTGCTGAATATGGTGCCGATAACGGTGCTGATGCAGGGGGAGAAGGAGGAACAGGAGGACGGTGACGATGACGATGACAACAGTGATGGTAAGGCTGATGATGATGGTGATGATGATGATGATGATGATGTTGATGGTGTTGGTGATAATGTTGATGGTTCTGATGAGGATGGTGATGATGGTGATGAGGAGGAGGCTGATGAGGAGGATGAGGAAGACAAGGAGGATGAAGATACTGATAAGGATACGGAGGATCAGGGGGATCGGGATGAGGATGATGATGATGATGTTGAGGACGATGGTGGTGATGGTGATGCTGGTGGTGATGTTGATGATGATGATGGTGATAATGGTTATGATGATGGCGATGATGATGACAGTGATGATGGTGGCGCTGATGGCGGGGGTGAGGGTGAAGGTAAGGGTGATGATGATGATGGCGATGACGATGGTGCTGGTGATACTGGTGATGATGGTGATGATGATGATTGTAGCGGTGAGGGTGAGGTGAGGGTGAAGGTCAGAGTGATGATGATGATGATGATGATGATGATGACAATGGTTCTGATGATGGCGATGGTGATGATGATGGTGATGATGATGATGCGGGTGACGCTGCTGATGATGATAATGGTGGCTGTGCTGAATATGGTGCTGATGCGGAGGAGGAGGAGGACGATGACGATGATGCTGCTGATGATGGTGATGATGATGGTGCTGGTGATGATGATGATGATGATGATGATGGTGATGATGATGATGCTGATGATGATGATCATGACTATGATACGGATGATGATGATGGTGATGGTGAGGATGAGGATGATGAGGATGCTGAATATGATGATGCTCATGATGAGGAGGAGGAGGAGGAGGAGGACAAGGATGATGAAGAGAACGGGAAGGGTAAGGAGGATGAGGAGGATGAGGATGAGGAGGAGGAGGAGGAGGAGGATGAGGATGAGGATGAGGATGAGGATGAGGATTATGATGATGATGATGATGATGAGGATGCTGATGATGATGCTGATGATGATGATGATGATGAGGAGTTGGAGGAGGAGGCGAAGGAGGAGAAGGAACAGGGCCAGGAGGAGGGGGGGAACAGGATCGCCGACTGGTGGGTCGAATCAACATGGGTACATGGATTACTCTGTCGCCACCTGTGGGGCCCGTTGCGGGCCACTGGGTCGCAGGACCGTCAGAAATCGGTCCAGGTAGCAAAAATTGGCCTGGATGGACCCCAGAAGGGGTCAGTGGTCAGGGGACCGATTCTGAGCGGATTTCGGTCGTCACCCAAAGGACCGAGGACCATCAGATCCTCGACTCGATCCTGGATCGAGGACAAATTCCAAACGGCCAGAGCAGACGGCGACGGGCCCCTTTTCTGCGGGCTCCTGCTCCCGAAGGCGTCCGCTCTGCCGCCAGAGGCCCGGCGCGGGCGCGCCAGGGCCCAGAGCTCGGAGGGGGCTGAGTCCATGCGGAGGAGGTCCAGACGTGGTGCTCGGTCTCCGTATGAACGCATTCCGTCTAAACTTCGCCCCCTCCTGATAGGAGGCTAGGTCCATACGGAGTAGGTCCAGATGGAGTGCTCGGTCTTCTTATGGTCGTACTCCGTCTCGACTTAGCCCTATCCTGATAGGAGGCTAGGCCCATGCGGAGTAGGTCCAGACGGAGTGCTCGGTCTCCGTATGGACTTTTTCCGTCAGGACTTCGCCCCCTCCTGATAGGAGGCCAGGTCCATACGGAGTAGGTCCAGACGGAGTGCTCAGTCTCCGTCTGGGCTCACTCCGTCTGGACTTAGCCTCTCCCGAAGAGCCCCGGGCTCTTCGGCGCGATGCCTCTCCGGCGACTTCAGCTTCCGCGGCGAGGGGCTCGGGGCTTTTTGCGGCCCCGCGGCTCCGGCGGCGGCGCGGCCTTTCCCGAGGTGGCGGCGCGCCCGCGATGCCGTCGCCATCCGACGCATCGGCGATCTTCGACAACCCCGAGAGACAGCGCTTTCTCTTCTTGCGCTAAACCAGGGGAAGCTTGGGCGACGCGCTGGGGTGGAGCCAGAGGAGGAGGAGGAGGAGAAGGAGGAGGAGCACGAGGACCAGTGTAAACCCAAAACGCACCATCGATTTTGAGATTGCAACAAGCCCTCCCTCCAAATTCCTTCTTTATGGGCCTCTGCAAGGGTTAGTTTTCACTGAAGGAAGTGCCCAGTTGGAGATCAACCGTTCCAAAAATCCGGAGCTGTGCTACAACACTCTTCCTGGGATTTCAACGCCTGCGCGGCGTCTGGGGGAAGCTGGAGCGACACGATTCGAAGAGCAAAAATCTGTGTGTGTATATATACACATATATGGACACATCTGTTTGACGGTCCGTGCGGATTTCTTGGATCCACGTTGGACCCCCCGTAGCGGCGCCTCCGTCGCTGCCCTTGGCGCGCCCCGCGCGCCAAGGAGGGGCTCCTAGCCCAGATCCAAGAATCCGCGCGGACCGTCGACGGTTTCTGTTTCGGCGGTGTTTGATTCCTCTAGCGATGGAGTGGGGCCTGTGGGGGAGGAGGCGGAGGAGGAGGAGGAGGCAAGGGCTCCCTCGAGGGCGCGAAGTTATTCGCGCTTCGCGCTTCGCGGTCCTCGTTCCTTCTCCCCCTCCTCCTCGTCCTCCTTTTCTCCCTTTGGGGGGGCGGCGCGAGAGCGCGAAGTTATTCGCGCTTCGCGGAGCGCGAAGCGCGAAGTTGGGAGCCCTAGAGGAGGAGGAGGAGGTGGAAGCAAAGTTATCAGGGAGCGAGCCCACTGAGCCACTTGGCCCTCACGGGCCCGCTCCACCACATAAGTCGATCACCTTTGTCACCACTGTCTCATCCGTTGTCCCCCTCTCTTGCAATCCTCCCCCTTCCCCTCTCTTGCCACTACCCCCCCTGCCCCCCTTCCCCCTGTCCCCCTCTCTTGCCATTCCCCCTCAGTTGTACCCTTCTCTTTCCATTCCCCCCTTATCCTCCCTTTCTCTCAATAGTTTGTGTATAACTGCCTCCGCTGCTGCCTGGCATGGGTCTGCAGTTACTGAATATAGCTCGAGCGCGTGGTTCGCGTATAGGAGGGACAAGTCCAGCGCGCGTGCTTCGGGTGGGATGAAGTTGTGCTTCGGGCGGGATGAAGTTTAAAAGTGTAGGGGAGCCATGGCATATAGCGCACCTGAGCTGCCGATGTTGGACATGAAGGTTACTCTGGGTTTCTTAATCAGCGTGGGGTGGTACCCCCTCCGACGGGGATCAACCTCGACTCGTCTCGTCGTCGCGCCGCGACGGGGGTCGAAGCGCCTTCGGCGCGCGGTGGCTGCCCGCGACGGGGGGCGATGTGGGGTTGTCGGCGGGGGTGACGCCCCCCGACGCTTATTCAGAAAGTCGGAGTAAAGTAAGAGACCATGAGAAGGAGGCTCCCGAACCGGTGCGCAGAAGCTTGCCCGAGCTCAGGCAGCAGCCTGAGCGTCCGAGGGCAGGCGGCACTTTCTCAGCCCTACTTCGAGCGAGGGCATCTGTGCGACGCCAGAAAGCCTCGTTCGACGACAGGCGGTGCGGTAAGCGGATTATGGCATTCCCGAGCGTGGCTTACGCCGCGTAAGGAGCGCGCGTGCCAACCAGAAGCGCGGCTCCTGGCGGTGCGTGCGTGGCGTCAATGGAGCGACGGAAAAAAACGGGGTCGTCTTCGCCGACGTTGGCGCGTAAGTTGCCCGCGTAAGGTCGCGCGTCAGCGCCCTCGTCTCGAATGTAGCGTGCCGCGCTGGCGGCTCGCGTGAGCTGCGGCGAAAGGTCGCCGTGCCATCTCGCGTAAGACCTCTTTTTGATCGTTGCTTTTCTCGAAGCGAATGTCTGCGGCGGCGCTTACGTGAGCATCGGGAGCGGGGCTCTCGGACCCAGTGCGACAACGGGCGGCACCCCTGGCGCGGTCTATGGGCCCCCACCGTCCCCGTTGGGGTCGAGGCCCTCGCGGGCAGTAGCCCCAACTGCACCCGAAAAGCCGCGGGCCCTGAACTCCGAGCAGTGGGCACCGGGCCCGTCGAAACGTGACCCTCACACACCGGCTGCAAGTCGAATCTCTTCGGCCATGAGTATTTGTCGGCGGCGAGCGAGGGGTGGAAGTGAGAAGGAGGAGGCATTCTCAGAAGGCGGCGGGACTTCTCAGAAACCCTCGCGCCCTCTGAGCAGTTTTCTGCGTCTCCGGGGAAGGCTCGGGAAACCTCTCGGACGGCCTCTGAGAAGGTCTTCTCCTTCTCACTTCCCCCCCCCGCTCGCCGCCGACTCGGAGCAGCTTGTCGGTGGTTCGGCGCTGCTGTGCACGGAGGCCGGGTGCCCTCCACCGGCCGAGAGCCACTGCGACAAGTGCCACCTCGACTGCATCTGTGTGGACTGCACCCACAGGAGGAGAGGAAAAAAAACATACACAATTAATCGCCGACTATTGGCAAACTATCGGAAACTACGGGAAGTGGGTGGGGAAGACGAAAACCACAAAAATATGCGAAAATACTTGAAATCCTGGGATTTGTGTCTATTTGTTATGTATCCCTGGGCCCCTCCAAGGAAAGACATCCCTGCTGCACCCTGAAGGGCGCTGAGTGGGCCATCGCGAGAAGGCACAGGGACGAGGCGGCGCAGGCACAAACAAAAAAGGCGCAGCCCTCGAGCAGGTGAGGCAGCGGCTTCCTCGCACGGAGGCGATGGAGGCCGCCAAGGTGCCGCGTGATGCGACCGATCGGAAAGCACGGGCTCCGCGTGCAGAGCCTGGCCGGCCTCCCCCTTCCTTTCGTTGTATTCTTCGGTTTTTCACGTCCTGGCATGTTCGAACTTCCGACGCTCCAAGACGGCCCCAGGGGCCCCCAACGGCACAAGAGGCCCCCAAGAGGGTCCCAAGACGGCCCAAGAGAGCCCCGAGACGGCCCAAGAGGCGCCCAAGACAGCCCATCGGCCGCTCAGGTCCGCGAGGCCAGGTCTTCGGCCAGCAGAAAAGATCTGGGGCAACGATAGGAGGGGATAGACAGGGGGATGCATCGACCCCCAATCGCGCATTGATCGCCGATATGGCCCGATAGCCCCAACCTGCCCAGGAACGTGCGGATTCACTATCAGGGGCTTATCGCCGATCTATCGGCGATGTATCGCCCATTCGAGGTCGATGTTTCCCCCCATTTGCCTATCCCCCCCTATCGTTGCTCCTCAAAAGAGGCCAGCGTAGATTTCTGAGTGAGGGCCCAGGAGGCAGCGACGGCGGCCACTGCCCAAACGCCGAGAAGCCGGGTTAAGCCGGGAGCAGAGTTGAGACCGAGGCTCGCCAGCGCACGCAGGCTGCCTCCGCAATGGGCGCCGATGTGTAAGTCAGTCACGTCCCTCTACAGGAGGAACATTCAAAAATAGTCCCAAAATAGTCTGGGAACGATTATTTGAGCATTTTTTGGCTTTTGAACATTGTTCGGCTATTTCTTGTTTTTCCTCCAAAATCCGCCTGTAGGGGAACCTGCCCGACCTAAGCCGATATCCTGGAGCCCGCGATGGCGACGTCAAGAGTCTCCGCGCTCAGAGAAGTTGGGCTTGAGAAGACTGCAGTCGCTGACCTCCGCGGGCAAATCAATGAGAGCAAGGCTTCCGCTTTAGCTTCGCATCGGGTATAGCCAGGACTCCGGTTAAGGGGAGCCAGTTAGTGATTGGGCCCCGAAGCCCAAAAGATGGATTGGATTCACTAAGCCAGGTCTGCCGTAGCTGGTGCTTTTCGGATGACGGCAATTCCGGTTGGTGGAATGGGACCGGGGGGGCGTCCCCGGTACATCTCATTAAACCAGGTTCCACTGAACCCAGTCCTGCCATCGCACGATCGCAGGCTTTTAGCGCAGCCGCAAGTGCCGCCGCCGGTCGCGGCCGCTGGCGAGGGAACGTGGACTGCGACGGGGCCCAGGGCAGACGGCGAGCGGTGCCTCTCGTACGAGGAGCAAATCGTCGATGCTTGCGGGCAGCGCGACCAGCCCTGCTAAGTGGATCACCGCGACAGAAGCACCCCGCGAGAACAAGAAAGCAGCCGAGATCACAGTGGCCGAAGGAGCAGAAGAAGCGGGGCGGAGACGACGCAGAAGAGAGGCGCGGAAACGACAGGGAAATTGAAGAGGAAGCGTTACAAAGGCACGCGAAGAGTTGAAGGCCCAGTGCGAACTCCCAACTACTTTCTCGGCCTCCGGTCAAGGGCGTCTACGGCATAGACACCGCGCCGCCATCAACCACAACCACAACAAGGCCCAGTGCGAACCTGGCCGAAGACGGACTGCAAACCTCCTCGTGGTGGCCGGGGGTTAGTTGATGCTGGCAGGTTTTGTCGAAGGCCGTCTCTCCCCACTAGCGGCGAAGGGCATCAAGGCCAAGGAGGTAGAGGGGGCCTCCAGCAGACGCAGACGGCCCCTGCCTCTATTGCGGGGCAGGGGCGTGCATGGACGGGGGCTTTGCCCTGTCACCGGCGGCCAGCGGAGGGCCTGCCGCTGAGACTCCGGGTTTGGGATCCCGGGCCTGCTGGGGGAGGGGCCGCACGACGCGCGGGGCTCCTTTGCTGCGCGCGGGGTTCCTGGACGCTTCGTGCCTTCCTCCCTGCGCTCCAATCTGCATTGGTCGTGCTGCGATCTGCCGACGCCTGGTTGCTGGCTCCCCTTCCGGGGGGGGGGGCCTGAGCATAAGGCGCGCGGATCCTCGCCGGTGTGGTGCGGCTCGCGCAGGGGATGCGGCTGCGGAGGGGGGTGTCCCGTGTTGCGGGGGGTTCGGCTCGTCGTCGTCTTCTTCGGGGGGCTCGCCCAAAGCTGGCTTGTATAGCTTAAGTCCCGCTGGCACCGAAGCGTGTCCCTTACATGACTTTTCAGTGTGACGATATCCTTGACTGCGGTTGGCGATTTGGCCACCGGCTTCGACTTGGGAGGGGGCTTTCTTCTCCCTTGGCACACAGACGGGCGCCAGGACCAGTGTGGCGGCCAGTAGTCTCCTCCTTGGCTGCTGGTCGCCCTGCCTGGCTGTTTTTTTTCGCAGTTTGTTCCACCCTGGAGCTTAACGAGGCGGTTCCAGGGTGGCATCTTCTTAAGCGCATGCTACTGTTCTCGGCCGTCGACCGAGGGCGTCTAGGCCTCTAGGCAGCCTGTCGCCATCATCGACAACAACAAGACCCAGTGCGAAGATATGGCTGGGGTGAAGGAAGCAGCTGCCCGCCCGGCCAGAAAGATCGACGAAGGAGCCGTGGGAAAACAAGATATATCACCAGCGACAGCCTCGAAACAAGCGTCCGGCAGAAGCGTATGCGAGGAGGAGACTTTACGGGCAGGGGAGCTTCTGCATATGCGTGGCGAGGCCGACAGGCTGGTCCGCACTGAAGAGATGGCCAAGGCAGAGGCGGCGGGCCAGGATGGGCACGCGATCGCGTCTTCGTCCAAGGGCGGACAAGCTCGTAGATGGACTGGGAGAGTCTCGACCGAGCCCCTGCGGAGATCCCCCAGCGCCAACGCGCCGCAGCGGCCCTGGCGGCGATCCCCAGGGGCCCATGACGACGACGAAGACGACGACGACGCCGACGACGACGACGACGACGACGACGACGACGACGGCGGCGGCGGCGGCGGCGGCGGCGGCGGCGGCGGCGACGACGACGACGACGACGACGGCGACGCCGACGGCGACGCCGACGGCGACGGCGACGGCGACGACGACGACGACGGCGGCGGCGACGGCGGGCCTGCCTGGGGCGAGGGCGGGGCCCGTCGGGAGGGGCCCGCCGGGCGGCGACGCGCCGCCGGTGGGGGCCCGCCCGGCGGGGCCCTCCCCCCGTCGGGCCTCAAGGGACGAGGGTCGGCCATCTGCTCGGGCCCCATCCAAGGGGCCTCTCAGGTCCCCGAAGGTTCCCCAGAGATCTCCCCGAACAGAGGCCCGAAGGTCCCCCAGGGGCTTCCCCGAAGGTTCCCCAGAGAGTCCCCCGTGTGCCGTCCCGACAGAGGCCTCCCCGAAGGTCAGAGCGGAGCTCCCGGGTCGGCGCACGGCCTCCCCCCCCCCGTCTTGGCGGCGCCTCCGGCGCCGGCCCCGGCGCACGGAGCGCGCCACGGAAGGGGACCCCGACGCTGCCCCTCGCGCGCTCCAGATTCCAGAGTAAACAGGAGAGCCGAGGCTGCAGAGACGGGGGTCGATGCAAACGGGGGTCAGCCAAAGCGCCGGATCTCTCAGGATCCTGCAGGGCCAGGGGCGCATTGACCCAGGCGTGGGCGCAGTAGCCTGCAGGATCTTGCAGGATCTTTCGCGTTGATTCGGGTTTGGGCGCAGGGTCTGGTAGGATCTTGCAGGGTTCTGCAAGGCCTCACTGACCTGGGTCTGGATTGACCCAGGTCAGAAGATCCCCGAGGCCCGCGGGCTCGAGAAGCTCAGCCTTCGGCCGTGCGTCTTGGCACCGCTCGGGCGTGCGCCTTCTTCACCCTCGGCGAGGGCCATCGAGGAGCACGCTTGGTCATCGTGCGAAAGAAGTGAGCGCACGAAGCCGGAAGGCGCGCGGGGAATGGGCGTCCGAGCGACGGCGGGACGTAAGAGTGGCCTTCCGCCGGAGTGCCCTTTGGCGCGGGCACACCGGGGTCCCCAGATGGCCGAATGAGGTGCGACAGCACCGGCTTGCACGCTCCAGTTCGGCCTCCCCATCGGCCCCCGAAATTTGCGCACTCACTCTTGCCCAGGGTCACCCTTGGGTATAGACGAATCCTCGAGGCCATGCCGAGCGCCATCCAATTTTTGCACGTTGGAAGAAGTCCGCGCTGCGAGTTAACGCCTCCTCGTCCAGGAGGACACCGAGGCCGCGCCCCCGATGACCCCGAAGGCAATGGATCTTCGTGCGCCCACCGACCAATTAGTCAAAGATTGCCGAGGGCTTCATTCGGCTCGACCCGTTGATCGCCGCTGACCTCCTCCAGTAGAAGAATATGATTTATTTATATATATGTATATATAGATATAGATGCCAGGAGAAGGTCAATCCGAACAAGGGGCATCTCGTTGCCGAAATATACCAGGCAGACGCAGGGGCCAACCAAAACGGCCAGCTCCCGTCGGACGGGAGTCCGAATGGTTTGCGCGCGGGTCTCTGTCAGGGCGGAGCGCGGACGGTTGTGCAAGAATTTCGACCCAGTCAAGTTCGACATTACCTCGAGCTATCAGAAGGCAGGGAGTCGCGCGAGCGGCTGCTTGGGCGGGTCCACGCGACTATGGCAAAAGACAGACTTGAGGAGACTCGCGCTCTACGAATAAGGGGCATCAGCTCGCGAGGGCGACCAAGAAGTGACGCGGCCCCCGTAGTCACGGGGGGGAGGGAGCGGCAAGGGCGGCAAGACAAGATTCAGGCGATCGCAAGCATGCATCAAGGGGGCGTGCATTGGCGACGGGTCTCGTTTCCATGGGATGTCGCGGCTTTCCGCCGCCGCACGAAGCGGCACTGGCCGCATCTTGGCGAGGGCACCTCCCCGATCCACGGATTTGGCGACCGCGCGCCAAATCCATGGATCGCTAATCCCAGGGGTGGGCCTAAGCGGTCTTTTGGCGATTTCGTGGGCCGTTTTCGTTTCGCTGTCGTTTCGCAGCGAAGGCGAATTCAAGACAAAACGAGGGAAAACGAAAACAAAACGAAAGCGAAAAACAGTCGAGCCCTGGCTAGTCCACGTTTGCGCGCCCCCGACAAATGGGGTTGTGCAACGAGGTCGATCACGTGTAAAAAGTTCGGGGGAGCAGGGGATGCGACGACAACGAGGCGCCAGAGCCGCCGTGCCGCCCCGCCGGCTCCGACCCTGTCGGCTCTCTCGGGACGCTGTCCTTGTCCGTCGGGTGGCCCTGTCGCCTCTGGGAAAGCCGCGCGGAGACACGCCTGCACGCGCTCCAAAACCGGGGGGCGCCCGTCCAGCTTGTTAGAGATTCGGATTTACTTTGTGCAGAGGGCTCTGAGGGGCCTGAGAGCACTCCAACTCGTGCCTCGAGGCAGGGTGGCGGGCGAGGAGTGGAGGTAAGCCCTGCCCCGCGGGCTGGTGGGCCTTCCTCTCATCCTACCCTTCTGCCCCGTGTCAATCTTCAGCTGTGTTCCTCGTCCTTCTCATCCGCCTCCTCCCTCTCGGCACTCCCGCCACTCTTCTTCCTGCGTCCTTATCCCTCTCCCCTCTCTCCCGCCTCATTCCCAGTTTCCCTTTTATCCCTTCCCCACCCTCTTGTCCCTCCCACCCCCCTCCCCCCGGCCCCCTCCCCCGCCCCCTCCTCCTCTGCCGCTTTCCCTCCCCATGCCCCTCCCGCTCACGCACCCCCATTCGCCACCCATCCGCCCTGCCCCGCACAAATCCTATCCTGCCTGTAGCCGCTTGACTTGAATGTCAACTTGGTACCAGGACTCGTCATGGGTGTTTGTTGCAGTGGCGGGTGGGCGCGCTGACATACTTCATGCCGTTCGGGCATCGGTTGTCCCTATTCATTTTTTTTCTCGTCCTCATCCCCCCCGTTCCTCATCCTCATCCGTCCTTCCTCGTCCTCCCTCTTCCCTTGTTTCCTCCCATTCTCCTTCTCTCATCGAACCTCCCTCATTCCTCCTCCGTCCTTTTCATCCTCCGTTGCGCCTTGCGCAACCGACGCCCTGCGCTGCGAAAATGCGGCGTCCAGTGTTGCAGCAGGCCATTGGTATGACACAGGGCATGACCGACGATGACCTGAGCCGGCTCGGAGTCAGCAGCCCAGAGGAGGGCAAGGCCATGCGAGAGGCAGAGGGGGGGGAATCAACGCGCAGGACAACGTTGATGGTGATGATTCTGATCGAGTGGCCTTCCGCCCATCCCGCCACTGAGCCTGGGCCGTGGGTCAGAGACCCTTGGACCTTGGCATCGCTCGGACGTGTGCATTTCCTTCGGCGAGGACCATCGAGGAGCATCCTTCACCGCTTTGCGAAAAAAACACGCACGAAGCCGAAACAAGCACAAGGGATGGACGTCCGGGCGATGGCCAGTGGGCACTTCTCAGGGCCTCTCAGGATCAGGATGCCCGATGCCTCTCCAGAGGAGGACGGGAGATAGAAGGTGCACGGCAGGCCGAGGTCGGCGCTCGGGCAGCGAAAAGCCGCACACGCTGGCATGTTCCACCTTTGCGCCGATGGGGTGCACGAGTTAATTACTCATGACAAAAGGCCCACACACACAATCCACACGTATGTACATTCACATACACACACATACACACGTATATACATTCACATACACACAAACGCGCGCGCACAACACACACACACACAACACAAAGCACACAACACACAACACACACACAACACACACAACACACACAACACACAACACACACACAACACACAACACACACACAGTCAACCCGCATAGCGAGGATGAGCAAGTTTCCAGGGTTACCTTTTCATCCTTCCCCTTCGGCCCGTCCTTGGCCGCTTTCGCTGGCCGCGCCCCGCTCGCAAGGTGTCGGCGTGGCCTTCCAAGGCCACACACACACACGCGCGCGCGCACAAGCGTGCGCAAGGGAGTGCGGGCAACAGCCGTCATGTGCTAACGGGCGAAGATTGGGGTAACACAAATCAGGAGGGGGAGAAATTACAGACACAACTAATCGTCGATGTCCAGAAAAGTATGCGACTGTGGGAAGTCGAGGGGAAGACGAAACTCCAGAAAATGCAGGACAATCTACATGTATGTATCGGATCATGGGATTTGTGTCTATTTGTGTGTGTGTGTCTGTGTCCCTGGGCCCCTTCGATAAGTTTTGTTTCGCCCTCGGGGGCGCCCGTCCCAGGGCGGCCGGGGAGTGATTCTCTGCCCCTGGCGGTGGCAGGTGGGGGTACAGTCGAGGCGCTGAGAGAAGGAGCCCGTCCCTCTACAGGAGGAATATTCAAAAATAGTCAAAAAATAGTCGGGGGACTATTTTTTGAGTATTTTTGGGCATCTTTGGGGCATTTTTCGACGTTTTTCATTTTTCCTCCAAAACTCCCCTGTAGGGGGACAGGGGCTCAGGAGGGGCTCGGGTTTCCGGGCCGCTCCCTGGGTCCAGGTCGGGGCACACGTTCGTGGACGAGGCCCGCCGCGGCCAGGAAAGCCCTTCTGGCAGCACCCCGGCAGCGTGAGTCTCTCAGCCCCCCCGGCACAGTCGGGCCGGACGAAAGGGGGGGGATTGGGAAAGGGGGGGGTTACGGAATCTGCTGCATGCAGCTGGTTTCGGCCCCACCGAGGGGCCCATTCCTCGATACATAGCCGCCTCCGGCGCCGGGAGGCGCCGGGAAAATCAGCTACGTAAGCGTGCTGATTCTCAAACCCCCCTTTTGCTATCCCCCCCTTTCGCCCAGCCCGACACAGGCGTCCCCGCTGGCGAACAAGTCTAGGATACAGTACCCGCATGGTAAGGATGGGCAACCTTCCCAAGGGTACCCTTGCATCCTTGCCTCCTCGGTCCATCCTTGGCCACTTTCGTTGGCAGGACCCCTCTCGAAAAGCTTCGAAATGGGCGTCCGAGGCCCTTGCGTCCTTATCGCGCATCCCGATGATACGGGCCGACTGTAAATGCAATGATCCTCGGGCGTGTGCCGCGGGCATGCCAGGTCTGCTCGGCTCCGCGCAGAGGAGCGAAATGACGGATTTACCCCTCAAGGAGAGGAGGGGAGGAGCAGGAGGAGGAGGAGGAGGAGCACGAGGACGAGGGAGGAGGAGCAGGAGGGAGGAGGGAGGAGGAGGTGTGATGAGGAGGAGGGAGGATGGAAGGGCGGGAGCAGGAGGAGTATGAGGAGGAGGAGGAGGATGAGGAGGAGGAGGAGGAGGACGAGGAGGAGTGGAGGACGAGGAGGAGAAGGACGAGGAGCACGAAGAGCACGAGGAGGAGGAGGAGGAGGA